GTTAGATGATAAAACATGATTAATATTTTATGCGTGACTTGTCTTTTTAATTTCTTTCATAATTTTTTCAAATAAGACGGACGGTCAAACGTTGAGCACGGAAACCAGGGTTTGTTTTTTTTTGGGACGGAGGGAGTAAGTAATGCGCGATGAGAAGAACCAGAGGAGCACACACTCACATGCCTCACTAGGCATGGGTAGCGCCCGCATGCACGCAACATGTGTGTGATTGATCACCAAATAACCACCCATATATATACTTGTTGTGAATATACGGTTTTCTTTTGCAGTTTTTTTTTATGTGGTGCGTCATGCTGCTCCACATCCCCAACCGAGCCAAAACCGTCAGTACATCTCAGTTATGTTTCATCTATTCATGTGCATCTTTCTTGTATGCATATCTAGATCAAATACGATAGTTCTATTAATTTATATGGCTAATGTTATGATTTAAGTATGGAATAAATTAAATATAAATATGCTTATGTTTTCAACAAACACATTATAATTTTTCATTGGAAACACATGTTTTTATAACACTTGTTCGCTTTATTCAAATATATGGTATTCATGACTAAACCAAGCATTGGAATATTATGTAATATCAAAAAAATATTATGGTCAATCTATAAAAAACTATAAAGAGTAAACTATAAAGAGTAGTGTTACTAGATCATTTTGAAGGAGTATAGAAAATTGTACATTTACTTAGTACTATATAGTTTCCTTCGAAATAAAGGGTTTTTGAAGGATCAATTATATGAAAAATTTTCCTATCAAAGCTGTGTATCAACTTAACGTAGAGTTTGAAAAAGAAAACACCGGTGATGTGGTGTGTGGTGCATGCATGACTCCACCTGCAGAATTCAAATCCTGATGTCTGGATATTACGTACACACGAGGTGGCATTTCAATAGGAATTCAACGAGGCCGGATATATATGTCGCTGGTATTTGTTTCTTATTTGAGCATGTTCCAAGGGATAGTGCTCGCTGACACATGAGATGTGCGTGTTTGTAGTGGTATGTGTGTTTTAATTAAAAAAAATGGTAGAATGAAGAAAAAATACAGGGAAATCTGATAAGAAATAGCTAGATCGTAACAATAATGCATTACAGGTGTTGCTAAAATAAGGTCTAACCAATCAAGGGAACAACCAGTAGCGGTAGCACATAACGTTCGGTGATGTAGCATTGTAGCTGGTGGTAGTCGGCTTCTAAGAACATGGGTTTCTCAGCTTCTGCTTTTTAAGTATATTTTTTAAAATTTTATAACTACAAATTATTAGGATCTAGGTGAGAATCTGAACTTGTTTTGGGGAGCAAGAATTTATGGAAGAAACTGCAGTAGCTTAAAAACTCTCTCAAAACCTTCGTTGGTATGTCATTAATTTCCATAATCAAAGTAGGCAGATAAGGTATATATGTATATACTTGCACTGGAAATATGTCTCAGGAAGAACGATCGACCTTCTACTGTTCGATATCCTGTACGTTGGTAAGCTTTGCCATTCATCAGATGGCTACGGTGCAACTATATATTTCCATACCAGGATTTATCGAACTTTTCATTCTTTCGTCATGGAAGGTCATGCTGCTATTTAACTACATACTTAATTATATCTACTTTTAAGTTGGTATTTCCAGAAAAGAAATATACTACCCTCGTCCACATATATAATGGATGTATAGCTGTACATAGCTAGGATCCTTTATATTTGTATACGATGATTATATATAAATCTTGTTTCTATAAAAGTTGGGTCGAATAGTCGATCTTGGTCTAAAACATAGAAGTATATTATAAAACTGCACTATAACTATATTGTAACTACACTGTACCTTTAATATAACTTATATATAAAATTTGCATTCAACTATAGTTTGGTTAGCTAAGACTAGGATCTTACGCGTGACATATGTGAAATTTTTTTTAATAATTTTTTACATGCACAAATCTCGAGGTGATCCAATGATCACAAATCTGAAAGTTTTAAGAGCAAAAAACTTCTGTAAGTTTTCTGACAAATCCACTAAAACATACTTCCTCCGTATTTTAATGTGCGATGTCGTTGACTTTTTATAAACGTTTAACATTTCGTTTTATTCAAAAAATTTATGTAATTATCATTTATTTTATTGTGACTTGATTGATCATCAAATGTTCTTTAAGCATGACATAAATATTTTTATATTTACACAAAAATTTTGAATAAGACGAATAGTCAAACGTTAATCAAAAAGTTAATGGCTTCATATATTAAAATACAGAGAGAGTATCAATTCTTTGTTCAGTACGGAGGCCGAGATCTGTGATGCGAAAATACCGGGACGGCGGACAGAATCTAATTAAATCGGATCGCGTGGATGACAGATGATGCATGGCGGGCGTCGGGCGATATGAGACGGATAAAAATCAGGTGTGTGATGAAAATAAAATTACCTATTTTTTAAATAATTTCGATTAGATTTCTGGACTGGTATATATATATAGACCTGTATTTAATTTCTCTGGGGTAGCTCGTATTAAGGACACCCATACATGGAGTACATGTTAACATGTATGCTGTGGATTAAGGAATTGACTGCATCTCTTAGCAGAGATTCCTCCAATGGGACAGAAAAAAAAACAGTTGCTTTACTCCTATAAAGCACGTATGGCCTGATGTTAAAACCTGCACCACGCATGAATAGATTGTCCACACGAGACTTGTACTGGCTTGATGGGTTGGAAGGCAAAGTCTGCCATAGCTTGATAGGTCCCTAGCAAGATTATTTATTTGTGGCTTCCAGACAATTTGGTAAACCAAACTTTAGTTACTATCCATAAAAATATTAAATATATAGGCCCACATTAGTTTGGCAAGATTAGCAAGATTGGCTTTCTAGTAATGTTGTGGCTCAATTTTCTCTAATCATGCATGACTTTACTGACTAAGAATCTCTTTTGTAATAGAGAGAACACTTGGATAATTGGATGCTTGCATACACGCGCATCACACTAAAGATCATTGCTTCTTAAATCTTAAGCAGCTGCAATATTGTCGGATATTTCAAATTTTTCATAAAGGAAAAAGTCCCAGAGTCTTATTATAAGTGGTGGGCTAGCCGGTTTAAGTTAAAGCCTCCACAACCTTTTAGGCTGAGTTAAGATGTTTTGTTCACTTTCCCAAATCCACCTCTCTCGTTTTTCACTTGTACGTTTTTCAAATTACTAAATGGTGTGTCTTTCGTAAAAATTTTCTAAATAAAAGTTGTTTTTTAAAAAAAATCATATTAATCCATTTCTCAAAAAAATTAACTATTACTTAATCATACGCTATTAAGTTACTCTGTTTTGCGTGTGCAGGAGTGTTAGTTCCCAACCCACGGAACCGAGAATAGCATTAGTAAACATCAACATGTGAGCTCCTCCTCTCATATATATCGAGCTTTTCGAAAAAGACCAGAGGTATTACCAGCTAGCACCATAAGAGCTAATATGGGAATTAATTTGTTAAGACAATAATTTGCTAAGATCCTCTCATTCAAATTAGTTAAGATGTCTTATTGTTTCAACTATATTAAGATAATAGTCTCTAAGTGATGTGTAACTAATTAAGAGCTCATCACTAGCTTTGTACATACACTAATGAACTCATTTTCAGTATCTATACTTCTTTCAAAATAAGGCAGTGATTATGACAGTGAAGTTGCCACCTCCACCAACTATTGACAGGCTATACCCGTCTACGGTATTTGTATAGTATAAGAATCGTTGGTACTAGGGTATACATGATATTGAGGTAAAAGCGATAGGAGACAGAGATTTTATATAGGTTCGTTCGAACCCCCTAACTAACAGGTAATAGTCATACTCCTATTTATCGAAGCCGGTATTGCCTTTATATATATATATATATATATATATATATATATATATATATATATATCAATCACACAAGTACAATATATGGTATGAGCTAATCTAGTTTCCATCAGCCTAACAGCATAGAGTACTCACATGTGGTCGGCGACTAGCGTAGTCAGCTTTCTTAAATATATTGGGTAGCTCTAGATTCATCATGTCGGTCTCTATTGCACCATATTGGGTTTATCTAGGTATATATTGTCTTGTCTTGTCTTCCATGTTAGTCTCTCTCTTAACCTCCTATGGATGTCTTGTATTTATACCCTTAAGTACCCTCCTATCCAAGTAAAACTAGGGAAACAGGTATGTAAAAACTATCCAAGTAGTCCTAGGACTATGTTTCTCCTTCTTTATCTGGAACACCTTCTATATATAAGCTGACTTGATTCTGTATAAGACTTGATATATAGTGGGCCTCACCGAGCCTAACACAAAAGTATTTGGTATAATTTATCTGTAATACTAACAAATATTGTATAGAGTATTATTACTTATTTATATTTTTTTTACCTACTCTTCCTTTGCATATTTACATATAAAAGTCATTTTACGTATGATTCTACATTATTTTATCTTAAAATATAAAATATAAGTTTATTATGCAAAGGCATATACATGCAAAGGGACAAAATTGTCAAAAAGAACTTTCAATTAATTTGTTCCAAGCAATATTAGCATACATTCAATTTAATCAGGGGAAACTATTCTAAACTATAAGGTGACGTCCCATCGATATTTGCATGCCACTTAAATAGTTATGAAAAAAATTTAACTTTTACATTTTGCAACGAAAAAAATTGACTGTGAATACACGTAAACTAGTTGTATTTTAATTTGTTTTTTCGTTGTGACTTGTAGAAGTTGAATTTTAATTTGCATGTTTGTGAAGTGATATATCACATGTTAATAATTTTTTTCAAATTTTTTTAATTTATTTTATGACGTACGAATAACCAGGGGACGTCCCCTCCATAGTTTAAATTAAATTCACTCTCTTAATCATTAGCCGGGTACTTAAATAGTTAGTCGATCGAAAAAATAGAACTCATCAATTCTTCAGTGCCAAAAACTCATTTGGAATTGGAAACTGTCAGCTCCACCAACCACGAACTTCGCCTCTATTTAAGCGAACGAAACACACGCAGAAACCTGCACTACCATCTCACCACTGATCAGTAGCTAGCTCGTGAAGAAGCCATGGCGACGGTGGACGTGCTGACGTCGGAGGTGGTCGTCCCCGCCGGCGAGACGCCGGCGGGCGCCGTCTGGCTGTCCAACCTCGACCTCGCCGCGCGCCGCGGCTACACGCCGACGGTGTTCTTCTACCGCCACAACGGCGAGCCGGGGTTCTTCGCGGCCGACGCCATGAGGGACAGCCTCGCCAGGGCGCTCGTGGCGTTCTACCCGGTCGCCGGCCGCCTCGGGCTCGACGGCGACGGCCGCGTCCAGGTCGACTGCACCGGCGAGGGCGTGGTGTTCGCCACGGCGAGGTCCGGGCACTACGCGCTCGACGACCTGATGGGCGAGTTCGTGCCGTGCGACGAGATGCGCGACCTGTTCGTGCCCGCGGCGCCGGCGGCGGCGAGCTGCTGCCCGCGCGGCGGCGCGCTGCTGCTGGTGCAGGTCACGTACCTGCGGTGCGGCGGCGTCGTGCTCGGCATGGCGCTGCACCACTCCATCGCCGACGGGCGGAGCGCGGCGCACTTCGTGGAGACGTGGGCGAGCATCGCGCGCGGCGCGCCCGCCGCGGACGCGCCCGTGCCGCCATGCTTCGACCACAGGCTGCTCGCCGCGCGGCCGGCGCGCGCGGTGCTGTACGACCACCCGGAGTACAAGCCCGAGCCGGCGCCGCCGGCGCGCGCCGCCACGGCGTCCACGTACGCGAGCGCCATCATCACGCTGACGAAGCAGCAGGTCGGCGCGCTGAGGGCGGCGTGCGCGGGGGCGTCGACGTTCCGCGCGGTGGTGGCGCTGGTGTGGCAGTGCGCGTGCCGCGCGCGGGCGCTGCCGCCGGAGGCGGAGACGAGGCTCCACTCCATGATCGACACGCGGCAGCGCCTGTCGCCGCCGCTGCCGCCGGGGTACTTCGGCAACGCGGTGATCCGCACGTCGACGGCGGCGACGGCCGGGGAGGTGGTGTCGAGCCCCGTGGGGCACGCGGCGCGGCGGGCGCGCGCGGCGACGAGCCAGGGCGAGGACTACGCGCGGTCGGTGGTGGACTACCTGGAGGGCGTGGACGCCATGAACCTGCCGAGGAGCGGCGTCTCGCGGGCGGACCTCCGCGCCATCAGCTGGCTGGGCATGTCGCTCGCCGACGCCGACTTCGGGTGGGGCTCGCCGGCGTTCATGGGTCCGGCGATCATGTACTACAGCGGGTTCGTGTACGTGATGAACGCGCCGGGGAAGGACGGCGCCGTCGCGCTGGCGCTGTCGCTGGAGCCGGAGAGCATGCCGGAGTTCAGGAAGGTGTTCGCCGACGAGGTGGCGCGATTGGCATGACACGAGTACACGACGCTCCCTGCGGTTGCATGCATGGTGTCCACGTAAACGTTACGTACGTTGGCATTTCGTATACGTATACGATCGAGCTTGATGTAAGTCTGTAATGTGTATGCATGTACGTACTGTACGTATATATGTACGTACATGTAGAATGTTACCGTGCGTATACATATAAGATATACATAAATCTGGAGTTTCCGGATTCACGTATGAAAGTGAAGGGTGTAGTGTATATTCAAGCAGGCATGGCATAATTAATCACAATATTTGAATTGAACTTGCTAAGCTAGCTAGTGCTGATGCGATCTCCACGTGCTTATTTGTAGGGGTGCTTTTTTAATAATGTTTAGTATGAGTGCTAGCCCTACCAAAAGTTTTGTGATAGTGACTCATCTTCCTAGTATGTTGCAATATGGACCTTATAATCCCCCTTCTACTTTTACCGTTTTTAGTAAGAGATTAAGGATGAAAAAAAGACTAAAATACCCTTGAGGTATGATTATGGATAGAAAGGTGGTCTAGGGCTATAATGGGAATAAATTTGAATTCGAGTTAATTAATGAGACAAGTACCGCACCAAAACCCCTTAAAATTTTAGGCCAAAACTAGAATGGATAAATTCCTTACGTTATGAGATAGAGGTCATATTTTACCAGGAGTACTTCAATTCTTTCTCTCCCACAAACTCTCTCATGTGGATGTCTTATGGCAAAAGTCTACTTTACATTCCTTCACTATTTGTTGAGATGGTCCTTCCTCTCTTATCTCGCTGCCCCTATCACCGTTCCTATGGTTTCATCCATTCCCCCTACCCCGCACCTTCCTCTCCTCCTCTACTGATGTGCCTTCCTCCTTGCCCGTCTTCTCATGCCTCACCACCACCGGCCTCCCTGCTTCCTTCCTCTCCATCTATTGGTTACCCCTCGCCATAGCTTTCTAGGCTTCATGATCGGTGGCCTCCTAGAGCTCGAGCTTAAGTGGCGGTGGCAATCGGTGCAGAGCTCGAGTGGCGGTGTAGAGCCTCCCAATATGCTTCGAGGAGGGCCAGCGTGAGGTGCAACCCCCATATCCACCATAATCACCACCTGGGTTTCGTGATAGTCCGTGGGGAGGACAAGGACAAAAGGAGTTCAATAGCAATGGTAGGGGAGCTAGGCGGTGCGATCTGTTTTCACCACCACCTCCAGGTCATCCTTCCCGCTTTCACATCCACCTTCTCCTCGTCGATCTATCCCCCTTCGCCATTATCATGCGGTCGGCCACCAGGCTGCCACCTACTTGGAGCCATGCTGTTGGTGTAGTCCACAGGAATGAGAGGGAAAAGAGGAGCAAGAGAAGGTGGAGGAAGAAGACCCGTTGTCGTGCAGGTTAATTCCATTTGTATTTTTACTGAATGTAATGCCACATATACATCACATCGGATGTAACTATCGTCAAAACCACCTAGAGAGGTAAAATAAACCGATATTAATAATTAAGAGAGGTCATATACTTGGTTTGGTTTTATTGTTTAAGTTTTATTGTTTAAGGAGGAAAATCACGAACTGACCCGTAGTTAAGAGACGTAATCTGGATACTTTTTCTATGTTTTGCATACTCCTAGAAATGGACCAAATACTCGGCCAGTCCATGGTCAGGAGCCTAGGAACTTAGGAAGCCTGGTTGAAGTGGGCAAAATGTCTTCTCAAAAAAAAAAAAGTGGGCAAAATGTCACCAGACACCGGCTAGCAAAATATTCGGTCCAAAAATAGACTAAGGTGGTCTGGTGTTGACCCATTTCTTGGTTCGCCCCTAAGTACTTCCTCTGTCGGGTTTAAATTTGAATGCTTGCTCGTTTGATTAAAAAGATTGTTAGGATAGAATATGCAAGTGTTTAAGTATGCACTTGCAGTTGCAGATATGTACGCAAGTCTATGCATGGCACTCCTAGTAGGCTTTTTTTTTTCAAAAAACAATCCGGCGGTTGACCACTCATAGTGAATACAGTCAACCATAAAAGTCTTAAATCATGGGGCTTGAGGCTAGGTTATACAATTTCTTTCTCAACTTCTGCTTATTTATTTTTCGCGTCCACGCTTTTTTTTAAAAAAATAAAGAAAATTGTTCCTAAAAAATCAGAATAATTTATTTATTTTAAAAGTTTTTAGCTAATACTCCCTATTGTATTTTAATGTATAACGCCGTTGACTTTTTATATACTTTTGATCATTCGTCTTATTTAAAAAATGAGTAAATTTCACAAAACTACAGGTATTTTGCATAATTTATCACAAAAATATAGATTTAAGAGCTTGTTTCACAAAACTACAGACTTAGTATGTCCGTTTATCACAAAACTACAGGTACTTTGTACAACCTATCACAAAACTATATATTTAAGAACTTGTTTCACAAAACTATAGATTTAGTGTATTCGTTTATCACAGAACTACACATTTAGTGTCTTCATTTATCATAAAACTACAAATTTAATTAGTATCTCCATTATCACGAAACTACAGGTTTTAACAATGCTGAAACATGTAGTTTGTGATAATGAAGACACTAAAACCTGTAGTTTTGTGATAAATGAAGATATTAAATCTATAGTTTTGTGAAACAATATCTTAAATCTGTAGGTTTGTGATATATTGTGCAAAGTACCTGTAGTTTTATGATAAACGAAGACATTGAATCTGTAGTTTTGTGAAATAAGTTCTTAAATATGTAATTTTGTGATAGATCGTGCAAAGTATACGTAGTTTTATGAAATTTACTCTTAAAATTTATGTAATTATAATTTATTTTATTATGACTTGATTTAATTATCATCAAACATTTTTTTAAGGATGACATAAATATTTTTAAATAAAACAAATGGTCAAATGTTGATAAAAAGTCAACGGTGTCATACATTAAAATACTGTGGGAATAATTAATTAATCATCATTAGCTGATGAGGTGTATCGTTTTTTTCTACCGAACGAATTAGTTACGAACTCAGAGGCGTTCAACACATCCTTAGAGACTGCTTTTCCGGTTGAAAAAGCATACCCATGATTACTTGACGGGTGGAAATTGGACACAGATTTTGCGTCGTGCAACTTTTGACTGAAGTTAGTGAAGCATACACACGTAGCAACTAGCATGCATGACGGATGGTGATGCGCACACGTACAGTCGTTGGAAAATATTGTTAGCTTTGTGCTTCGGTCGTGCAATAATACCCAGAAAAAGTACGAACTATCCTCTAAACTATCAGACTGTATGAATTATTTCTCTGAACCACAAAACCAGACATTTTTCACCCCTACCTATTTAAACCGAACAAATAACCTCTCTCTCCCGGCTTAATCCACAATTATTTTGGTCCTACGTGGTAGTCCAGTCAACAAACATTTTTTACAAAAATCGGAAGACCCAACCAGTCAGTTTCTCACCCTCTCTATATCTCTCTCTATTCTATCTCTTTCCCCAATTCGTCCCTCCGCTCTCTCTCTCTCTCTCCCTCTTCTCCCTCCCCTCACCTCCATCACTCACCGGCAGCAGTGAGTTGAGAACGGCGGAGGCGGGGGCGAAGCCGGCCAGCTGGGGGTGGTAGAGGGGGGCCGAGGACGGCGACGGGCTGGAGTGCAGACAGCGCGGATCCAGAAAAATGATGCGGCGGTTGGCCCGGACGGTGTGCTCTACCTCCTCCTCCACCGCCGATCGCCCGAGCTCGCCGCCTCCACCACTGGCCACCCGAGATCGCTCTGCCTCTGCTGCTAGCCACCCGAGCTCGCTCCGCGTCTGCCTCTGACGCCGACCGCCCAAGTTTGCTCCACCTCCGCCTCCACCATCGGCACCAGAGGTCGCTCCACCTCCGCCGTTGGGTAAATTACACTTTTTCCATAATATATTTTAAAATTTAGAGTAAATTCTAGTTTGGGTTAGTATTTTTTTTTACCAAACTTTCATTTTGGACTACCCCTAACCTAAAGTTTTCACATAAAGCTGAGATACGTTTACCTCTTTTGCACTTTGGATCACCCTCTCCATCTCTTTCTTTGCCACGTCCAGCTCTCACCAATCACCACCTGGAGCTTGATTGATGAGGCACCGGTGAGCCTCTCTTCTCCCACACCAGTGAGCTCCTTCCCTATCTCTTTCTCCCTCGGATACCCTAGTGTCTCAACCACCGATGCCGCTGGATCAAAAAGTAGGGGCAGCAAGGTGGCAACAAGCTTCGCCGCCAGGTTAGAATGACGCAAGGGCAGTCCATCGGTTTAAGACGACAGAGAGATGTAGGTGGTGGTGGGAGCTAGAGGTGGAGAAGAGAGAGCTGAAGAAAGAGTGGCCCACAATGTAAAAGGGGTAAACATACCTAGCTTTATGTGAAAATTTTGAATTGGGGGTAGTCCAAAAGTGAAACTTTGGTAAAAAGAACCTACTCTAAACTACAATTTACTCTAAAATTAACAGTTTCTACAATTAAATTGAAGCTATGATACTCTCATTGGTTATAAATACAGTATTTGACAGTTAAGACTACATCTAATAAAAAAAGTTGAATTTTGACCACCAATAAAACTTCTCAAATGCTTAGTATTTTATAAAAGAAAAGTTATATGCATAGATTAGCCTTAAAAGTTATCATGATCTTATTAGAGTTTATTAACTTGTCCTGATACCTAAAATTAATGGCTAAAGTTTCATAACTTTGATCGACTACCGAATATTGTGACTGTAAAGACAGATGCAATAGAGACATTTGAAGAGTGACATTTGGTAAGGGAGGCAAATAGTTAGATTCAGAGCATGATTCAAGTTTTATGTACGGATTTTTAATAAGTACATGATTTCATTATTTGTTAAAACACGCGAGTGTAAGGCCCCCTTTGATTTGGAGGAAAAATATAGGAATTTTGTAAGATTATGATCCTATAGGATTTTTTTTCCTATATGACCCTTTGAAACAAATGATTGAAAACTATTGAATCCTATGAAATTTCTAAGGAAAGTCTCAATCCACAAAGTTTTAGAGGATTTTTAACATGAGGTCCAACTTCATGAGTTTCTATTGAGTCTATCTCTCTCATCTCATTCCTATATTTTTCTTGCGGTTTAATTAAACGATTATTCCTGTATTTTTTTCTACGTTTTACAGTCCTCTATTTTGTAATAAAATTTCTATCAAAATCCTATATTTTACTTATTCCTTCATTTTCTCACTCCTTTTATTCAGAGGAGCCCTTGTGTGCACTACATGTCAGTGCTTCGTGTGTTGTGGTGGCCGCAATAAGTCTGGAAAAAAAGGGCAGTTTGAC